ATCTATATATATGTATATATATTCATAGTTTGACCTTGAAGATGCCGGAAGTTCGCTAGCACGCATAAAAATACAGAGTTTTTTGGGGGGATATTGATATCCCCAACATGTTGACTCTTACTGACCACAACTTCGCAAAATGCTGCGCGCTCCGCTTATGGAGTGACTCAACCAACTAGATCCAAGCACTGGATCTCGAGAAACACGTACCTAGGAATTTGATTGATTCAGGAAGCTAAGAGGATACAAGAGATGAAAAACTCGAAATGTGCGTAAATGTCCCTAGCCGGTGCGTGATACAAGTCCCAAGGGGATTCCGGTGAGCGAAACGATTACTCGTAAGAAGGGTTGGCCTGTTTTCAAGTGGGAAAAACGTCTAAATTTTCGGCTTTAACAGTTCCAACTGGCTACCTGTAACTGTTCAATCGGCTTGTTGACCCGTGACACAGCCCTAGACAGTGAAATTGGGGTCCCCTATCATTTGAAAACAAGCGGGTGGCTTTTCCCTCTCAAGCGTCACTGAGTTGCTGGTCCTGATGAAGTCCTACCCGCTCTGTTCGAATATGGAGGTGAAATACTCAGTTGGTGCTTGTCTAACTTAATTGCCTCTATCTGGACGAAAGAGGCCGCTCCAACCAACAGGGCTTACCCGATAGTGGTGCTTGCAGTGGATGTGGCAGTCACGGAGGAATTAACTTGACTTCCGTTGTGACCAGGCTCTTTGTCTCTTATTCCACGTCGGTTTACGAAAGCGTGTGAATAGCTGACCCGAGAACAGCAATTAAAAAAATCGTTCAGCTGTAACACCCTTCCGGTGCCTGGCTGCCATGCCACCCGAGGGCTGGGATACTGCCAGGTTGCCCAGCCTAGACAGGAGAAGCCGAGGCAGAGATCAGGTTCGAACCACGGACCTTCCGGTCAGTAGATTCGCGCTCCAAACACTGAGCCATCTCGTTCTCAACAGCAAGTAGGATTCCGGCCGGGAAGGGGCTTCGTCAACTACATCATCACATTCCATTAAGGGTTAAAGTAACGATATGTGTATAGGGGCCCCACAGCCTTGCTGTTCTTTGACTTCAAGGTTGCGTCCGGTTCTGTCGCCCGGTCGTTTCTTAGCGCCTGTGCACAACAGGACGCGTCCCAGAAGTTCGTGAATATCGTGTACTGCTTGTATTTATATACTTCTGGGCGCTTGAGAGCGTATGGACAGCTCTTCAAAAGTTTTTCCGAGAGGGTTGTTCAACCCCCCAATTTTCCTATGTTTTCGGAACTGATCAGGTAGTCGAGCGAACTGATGAAGTTTCCAAACCCCAGGTTTTCAGATTTCTCCGAGAGGGAATTTTGCGGACTTCGAGTGTGCACGTGACCTCGTCCCTATTTTCTGAAAAGACGTATGTGGTCCTAGAATACCTGTCGAAGGTCAGTCAATTATATGGATTGTGGTTCGCACCCCCAAACACCACTTACCGAAAAGTTTGACGGTTCACGGTTGTTTTTTTACCCATGGGTCTCATGAAATAAGCACGGTCCCCGAGTTTCCGTCAACCTTATGTTCCACTTCAGCCTAAGTTGTACACCGTTCGCGAAATACGCTTATTTACACGTTAATCCGGTTGTACAGGGAGATCCAACTGAACCTCAGGTGATATGTTATCCCACAACTGAATGTGTGGCACAAATGCCGTTTTGGGTTTTAGGGGCGAGATGGCCCAGTAGTTAGGTCCGATGTTCGAACCCGACCTCTCCTGTTTAGGCTTGGGCAATCTGGCAATAGCCCATCCCTCATGCTTCCTTCGGGTGGCATGGAAGCTGTGCACCGAAAGGGTGTTACACGTGAACGATTTTTATTTTTTTATGTTTCAGTTCGGACGATATCTCATATAGAATTTGTAGTCCATGCCCCACACTACCTCAAATATCCTCTCGACTGAAACACGAGGCAGCCATTCATTTAAAAATATCCTAGTCGAGCTCCCTCCCGGCGAAACCAAGTTAGTTTACAAATGACGTACTTCGCTACTGTCGATCTGGTGAGTCCTAAGGAGGACGAAACCGATTGTCGAAGACCTTCCAACAATCTTTCGGGAAGTGTGTTCAGCTTCAAAATTTTTTGTGGAGGGGAGGGGGCGTCGGCCATCTCTGGACAGGAACCGTGGAGCCAAGCTCGAAACAGGCGATGCCAAACCAAGAACTTTACAATCAATCGACGTGGTGATTCTTGTTAAAGCGGGCCACACGACAGTCTGTCTTAGTCTTACTCGGCATTTTCTCATGATGCGACGAGGATCGGCACTTTGCAACGCATTTTGCACTGTGATGTCATCTGGTTACCACTGTTCAAGGAGGGAGTTGATGAGCTTAGTCTGTGCAGTCTGTAACGGATACTTGACGGGGATAATGGACAACATGGAAAGTGGTTTTGGAAGCTATTCTGTCTGATAACTATTGTCGTAGGAACATACCAGACACCGGAATACTTCCGCGAGGGTTATCCTTTATATGGATGAGACGATTAAGGCAGTATCTCAACTACCCTTGTGTACAGTCTACCGCCCTCACTCCAACTCACTATGATGTTGACTGTGAGTCATCAAAGGAAAAGATCATTAATCGATTGAAATCGAAATCTTCCCCGGCGAAGATAGTAGTTCTGGCAGACATCCTACTTTATTCACTGTTTGGAAGTATTCCAATAATTTCAAGTTTCAACGACCAATGGTAGTTCCGGCAACGAACTAGCCCTCGACCCAGTGGACAGCGATTCGCCGTAGTGAGATCGTATCATATCACTATTAAGGCCTGTGTGCGAGGAGTCTGGCGACTTCATGATACACCTATCATCATCATCATCATCATCATCATCATCATCATCATCATCATCATCATCATCATCATCATCATCATCATCATCATCTTCTTCTTCTTCTTCTTCATCGTCATCATCATTCCAAGCTTCTGTTCGCTCCGCCCTACGGATGTCAGATCCGACTTCTGCAGAAAGGACTATTCGAACGCTTCAAGTGTCTAACCACTGGTGTTTGTGGATTATCAATGTGGCGCGACCGCCTCTCCCAGCATGATTCGTCGATTCTGCTCCGGAATAACTACTCCTTATAGCCCTGCAGTGCTGTAGATCATAGTAATTTGAACTATTGAAGACGGCTGTCTTCACATTCCCCTCCACGGGTTGGTACTGTTGCCGTAGTGTCACTGAAACTATGGCTTATCTCTATCAGTTTAACTGCCAACGGCTTTGAACTTCAGGCAGGATTCGATCGAAGTACGCACAGGCTTCCCCGCCTATCGTTATGCCTAGGGGGATATAATCCACCACGTACATGGGGTCAGTCCATCTTATACATGGAGGCAATCACAGTGAAGCAGTGTGTACTGTATGACCACCTATCCGTATCACAACGACATGCGCGTTTTGAGCAGACACTCTGGACAGGAACACAACGAAAAAATAACAACAGACCTGGAATCTAGTGCCTGAAATCTCGAGTAATATTCCACTACCAAAGGATCCTACTTTCCTGTAGTCCACTGAGACCACACTATCTTGGTCACACCGGTCATACTTCAGTAGCTTGATCCACCCTAAAGCGACTCCCTTGAATTTATTGGACGAATTTCGCTGCCCATCTCTTTGGGTTTCTATCTTGAACACGTGAGTATTCCTAGGTAGGTTTCGTATATCTGGTGCTTAGAATGCTGTTACTGCATTCTTTTTTCTGCGTCCACCATTCTCAGTCGGACAGGCTGTTCCTGTCCTACGGTATTAATCACTTTCACAAATGTCAAAATCCATTCATTCGTTTGTTTCAGTTTTGCACAATGGACCTTCCATGGTAGGTGGTGAAACTTCCATTTCCAATTGTGTCTCAGGATCGAAAAATATCGCCCTCAATCATTAGATGAATTAATTAGTCATTCAGAAATCTCGAAGACAAGTAGGCAAGATGTATTTTTTCTTCGAATAATGTTTTTTTTTTCAGTTTCGAGATTCCTCGAACAAAACCGGCTGCCTCATCTACTCTTTTATGGACCACCTGGAACGGGCAAAACCAGCACGATACTTGCGACCGCCAAGACCCTTTATGCGCCTCGAGAGTTGAATTCAATGGTGTTGGAGGTAAAATTCTCCCGTTCGTTCCTACTGCTTTTTTCCAAGCTCAATGCGTCTGATGCTCGAGGTATTAATGTAGTTCGGGAACAATTGCTCAGCTTTGCAAGCACAAAAACTCTTTTCGCGTATGTTGCTTTATGTGTATTTGCTAACGCGCATATTAAGGGGTAAATTCAAATTAGTAATCCTAGATGAAGCGGATTCAATGACCAAGGATGCTCAAAATGCACTTCGGAGAAGTACGTCCTCTATTCTCTTATCTGTTACCTTAAAATAAAGTTGTGGAAAAGTTCACAGAAAACACTCGATTTTGTCTTATATGTAACTACCTGTCGAAAATTATTCCGGCTATCCAATCGCGATGCACGAAATTCCGGTTTGCCCCAGTGAGCTTCCAACAGATGCAGCCGAGGCTGAAGGAGATTGCTACCATGGAAAAGTATCCTAATTTTCGGCTCAAGTCCTTTACTCTGTAGAGTCGTGCTGACGGAGGATGGCATGAAAGCTATCTATCGGTTTACATCTGGTGACATGCGGAAAGCGATTAATTTAATGCAGGTGAGCGTTACATATCATATCTGTCTAACGACTCCACCTATAACATCTCCCTCCCTCCGCCACGCGACTGTTGTACGTCGGCTGCGGAATATATGACGTTGACTGCCCCAAGATAGAAATAGATTAGTAGGGTTGTCAAAGGTCCACCGTTTTTTCGTAAGGGTAGTGAAGACCTTATCAGAATATCGTGTGTCGGTTATCTTCTAACCCCACTGGATCAAAGGCTAAAATAAAATCAAGGGGGCTTTGATCAAGTGTGAGTTAGTATGGACTGGTATGTGGTCAACTTTCAAGACAGCCCGTCTGAAGGTGTAACACGTCGCCATCTTCGGAACCCATCGCTGATAAATTGTTCAGACCCAACCTCAGACGTTAAATCATGGATAATAAATACGATAAGCCGTTCAGCTGTAACATTCTTTCGGTGCCATGCCACCCGAAGGAAGAGCGAGGACTGGGCTACTGCCAGGTTGCCCAAGCCTAGACAGGAGAGGCAAAGGCCGGGTTCGAGCCACAGACCTTCTGGTCAGTAAATTTGCGCCCAAACCAATGATCCATGGATAGGAAGACATCTTAAGCCACCTACCTTGTTTTGGAGTAATTCGTAATCCCATCGCCTCTTTAATTTCAGTCAACTAAACAGTCGTGTGCAGAGTAAAATCACATCGGGCAGACATTTTCCTCATGCGAATCTGAGATCTACTTGTGTTAAATGCTTAGGATCCTTCAGTTCGACTCCGACATCCAAATGGTCGAAGTTTGTACTGTTTAAAGTGGTTGTTTTCCAGAAACCGATGTCATTTTAAGTCATCGTCGCTGAGCACATTTTTGGGGAAACGGAACATGGTAAAATACACTCATTTACCTTGATTTGGTTTTATGTTGTTCCACTGAACATGGTGCACAAAGGCCGTTTCATGTTTCGTTTGACCCGATATCCGAGATATTGCAGTACATTTTCTTGAAAACTCTTGCTGAAAACTCTTGGGCAATCTATGACCGGTTTGATTCTTTTCGGAGCTAATTGGATGGGTACAGACGCCGAGTTTCCGTCAGCGTGAAGTTCTTCTTGGAACCCAATGGTACGCGGTTCGTGAAATGCACTCATTTGCACACCAATTTGGTTTTCACGGGATACTCAAATGGAACCCGGTTGAAGCTCCAACTAAGTGTGCTGTGCAAAAATTACCTCATTTTTCAGTTGGCACGGTATCCCGAATATCGTCTATATCGATAATGCACTGTGATACATCGAGTATCGTGAGTTGTTGAAGAGTTTTTAGCATCTTTGTGAGTATCGTCCTTCCAAGAACACTTCGATCTTTTGAAATATGAATTCAGTAGGCGGATTCCCACTTCACCAGTCTTTCATACGGAGAGGATTGCAGGGTTGCAGCGTAACTGGTCAGGAATTCATTATTCAAACTCACTTTCTCTCCTTATGTACGAAAGATAACTATAACGTAAAATATTGTTATTGCACAAATAAACGTGGGGTGAGTGCTTTTTCCCATGACATGAACGTGCAAATTACTCCTGGGACTCAAGGGTCTAGCCATCCGCTTTCTTAATCTTGCGTGTAGGATACCTCAACCTAATGTGTTTATTACACTATCCGATAGCTGAATGCATACGTTTGTTGACTGCTTCTTCAACGACTGGACGTATCACGATGCCAGACAAACACTGTAGTCATGTGAAGTTGGCATTAATCCCCTGTCTGTTGTCCTTGTTTTTGGTAACCACTGTTGGTGCATGTGATTCCGTTGTTTGATTCTCTGGAACAGAAAACGAAGCCAACTACGTGGCCGGGTTTTTGGTGTGCCAAATTGGGATTGGGTCTGGTACTAATCCGATGCAGGCGTTTTAAGCGCCTCAGTGAACGTTTGAGCTAGTTGCACTTATGCATCGAAGACGATGGTGAAATTTTCGACTGTTTTCGTTACTGATGCTTGATATCCTTCGTCGTGTCATTGTTTCCACTCTTTTACATTCTCATTGTTCCAGAGCGCGGCAATGTCGGCACCAAAGATTGATGAATCATCTGTCTATGCTTGTGTCGCCTACCCTTCTCCCGCAGAGATACGGTCATTAACCGATTCCATGCTGAACGAGCCGATACATTCGGCCTTTAAAAGTAGGTTCAGCTATCAGCCTGCTTGAATTTGGATCCCGTTTCAGGCTGACGGCGCCTAACATCAGCCAGATCTAATGTTTTAGATATTTATACCTTGAAGTTAGTTTGCGTTAAGAAGTTCAATGGCTTTTTAAATTTCATCAAGATCGGTTGGTCGTTTGGTTGTATAAGGTTAATTGTTAATCGCCACTGCTATATGCTTCACAGCCGTTCAGACCACCCTCTTTAGGGGTTTTATGATCCCAACTACCTGCGGTTGTGGTGTCAACTCTAATAATAGGCGAATTTCGAGAGAACGCCATTGCTTCGTTGCACAAAACGGTCAACTAATTTCGGTCGAGTTTGACATATATCTAAGTTTATATGATGTAGATTCTATCACCTTCATCTGGACTCCGTCAAAAAGACTCTGGGTTGGTCGGAAACAAACATCGTTTCGATACTGACTAAAACTAGGTGATTACCCAACACCGATTGAGGACTCATTAGTAGGTGTCTAAATTTTAGTTAGCCTGATTTCTCTGGATGACTCATAGTTCAGTGTATTCCAGTTTAGTATTCAGTTTTTTGCGAGGTATTTGTGAATCGCTAGTGTATCTTCCGCCTTTATGGCTCTTCACTTGTTGACTGCTCGAGGGTTCTGTTGGACCTATATTCAGGATGTCCTGGGGAGGGCTTGGAGAAGAATATTCCTTCGTAATTGGTACTACTTTGCTATTTGTGGTTCAGGTATGAACTCCGGTGAATTAACATGCAGAAATTTCGTGTTCCCGTTAAACCCCAAACTTAACGAAGCCGATGGTATACTGTCGATCTTAGGAGGCAGTAGTGCCTATGAAGGGTTAGTATTTCGGTATATTTCATATCGGTTCATTTGAGCCGTGAGGCATCCTTTCCTGTGCCCAGTTCAGAGTGAGTAAGCAAAGAGGTGATGAACTTTTGATGTGGCACAGGGTTGTGGGAGAGAAAGGCTTGAGAAAAGTTTGAGTGCTATCCGTGCAACTCGCCTTCACGTAACTTTCCCTGTGTATGGTTACAAGTGCTGCAAGGTGTAGCTGCCAATCGAGTCAATGGCGTTCTTGGTGTTCGTTGCTATCCGGAGTGTCTGGGGGTGTGGTAGGTTAGCATTTAGTCCCTTCCACGTCCACTTTAATTTTTTTATTCCCAGTGATTTTGCGGCAGCGAAGTATTTATGTTGGACACCGATGTTGTGCCGTTGATAGTGATGAACGTAATTACCGGGCGCAACGACAAGCCAGTAGATCCGTGGCTTTTCTTTGGATGGAAGTCGGGTCCCTGGACAATAAAATCATGAAGTTTACAGCCACCTCTTCAAAGGTGGGAAAGCGTTCGTACCCGTGACGTATAAATCACGCTGCATTTTCCTTGGCAATGGTTGGAGACTCACATCTAGATCCTTCGTCATGTTTAGCAAGAGAGCTGCTAATAATGGTCAGCCTACGCAAGGATCATTTTCGCCCCTCATTCAGGTTTTCTTCTTTTGTGATCGCTCAGGCCAACGTAGCTTGTTATCAGTATTTTGTACAGCGTTTTAGCTTCGATTGAGGTCTATTACTTTCCCTGGGTGCCATCGCTCAAAGTGACTCGAAAAGTGATTTGATGCATATGTAAGGCATCGTACCGCTGTACTTTTTTGCGTTCCAGTTTGTGTGTTGACTTTTATCCGTTGGTAGAGCCCTCAACCGTCTTCGTAATTCTTGTACTTCACTTTCCACTTTGTGAGTGTGCTTCCTTCGTTCTAACTATTGGCTGAATATCGTTACTTAGGCAACTTCGTTGACAAAAGCTAATCGGAAAAAATGCCGACAAAATCTTTGTGTCCTGAAAAGGAACTGAACTGAACTACTTCCTGTTTTTCAAAAGGGCTTGGTGAACAATCGCAGGGTTCATAGCTGGGCAACGATTCGCTTTCGGTGCAAAAGCTTCGTCAGGTCAAGTGGGTAGATTACCGGATAGGCGGAGCACCATTAATTAAAGTATCTGCCGACTAGCACACTAGACCAGTTTGGAATGGTGGTTAGAAAGTCTTGTTGCTTAGTTCGGGTGTTCATCTCTTACAGACAATAGTTTAGGAGATTTAGTCATTTTGATCAAATTCTGGTCCCTAATCTTCTGGTTCAGGACACCCTTGTCTCTGCCCTGGTACGGAAAAATGGATTTTGCCATAATGCGCCTTTATCCCATATAATGGAGTGGATTTTTCTAATCTTGAATTAATGTAGCGGCGACTCTGTCATCTCCCCACACACGTTTTCCCGCTTTGTGACGGCTTCGTTTTTTTCATTTACAGACATCTTGGCTACTAAAAATCTCAAAGGTATTGCATTGCAAGATGTTTTAACTGAACTTCATCCGCTAGTAATGAAAAGTAAGTTGTTCCTCTTTCTCCTAGTGTGCTGATGTTATGTGCGCACTGAGTTGTCCAACTATGCTTTTTGTATACCTACCGAAGTTCCTCGGTAGATCTTCAACAGTGAAGGCGTCAACAGTTTTCGTCAGTTTTGATATTCTGGCAAGCTTTACTCCATCACGACTAAAGGTTTCACAGTCAATTGCACCGACATTCTGACTTCAAATTATCCACGCATCACCTTGACGTAGTCCTAACTGATGGCATGATATATAATCAGGTTCCAGAATAGTGTTCTGTCAAAATGCGTATTTCCATTTAGACAATGGGGTTTTCCGTTGTTAACCACTGTTCTTTGGATCCACTTGCTTATCCTCCAAGCCCGCTCAGTTGAGTTAGAAGAAATTACATGATAAAACCTTTCTTCCTGTCGTACCCAGTTCTATGCTCTGCATCTTTTTGCCTATTCACAACCATCTACTTTGTGGGTTGACTCAACTTGCTTGTCCCAGTCCTACCTCAATGACACCACAGGGTCTCCGGAGTACTGGAGAGTATCCACTAGATGATAATCAACAGCCTTCGTGCTTTGTACCCGGATAAGATTGGAAAATCACTGATCCTATACTGGTGAAATAGTCAGGGTCTTGTCGGTGATCAGGTGAATTAGATTTTTAACTCAAACTATGATGAGTTAATTGCAGCGAATCGAAATATTGACCAAGAATCATGTTTCTTGGGGCGCACATACAGTTTCACAGTGTGGATATTTATAGTGAGCTAATCGCGAAGAGTCATGCGCCTACATCTCGCTCCTATTCGGAGCTTATTGTAAACTCCCCTCCGATACACGGGGTATGAGTTTATCTCTTCTCAACCTGTCACATATACTTGGGTCAGCTTTGGCAGCTGTTATCCTTGTAGACGACAATACATGCGTGACCCGGTCCCAAAGTAAATGGTGTCCGTACATCACAGTTGTTATCTTCAGCGCCAAGTATTCGTAGAACCCAGTGACGGAATAATGGGTAATAAATGAGCTACTGCGGATGGGACAACTATACTAAAGTACGTCTTTGATGGCTAATGCATTGCACCGTTCTTGTGAGGTCAACTAACTTGCTGTTTTTTTGGTTCCCGAATTAACAACTCCGCTCATTTGACCTCGATTTTTCCCCTCATTAACCATATCTTGTGAAAGACCGATATTTTACCCTTTTTCTCAGTTAATTTCCCAGATTCTGTGCGTTGTGATCTTATCATCGCACTGGCTGAACTCGAGCATCGCATGTCGGTCGGTTCTTCAGAACGTCTTCAACTTGCTGCGCTTGTGGCATCTTTTGCTAGAGCGAAATCTAGCCTTGAACATGTTTCTGGCTAGACTCCGTCTTCACTCCTATATGCTATTTTCCATTGTTCGAGGTTTAAATCAGAATCACATTTTTATGACTGTTTTTTTAATTTGCATACTACATTATGAACCAGAAATTTCGCGTATAAAATTTCTTCAGAAGGATGAAGTCGCCAGTTGTACATTAACTCGGGCACAACCGTAGTACGCGTGGAAAGTATAATCCATTCGTGAGGTAGATGGAATTCTATACTGATATTTAATCGTGCGAAGTCATGAGCGAGTGGCGGCAGTTTTTAAGTTGGTGGACTGGATGGATCGCTGTAAGAGCGTGACTGTGAGAGATAGAGGTAGAATGTCCAACCACTGCTCCTGGACGGTGCCAGTACATCTGAATTAAGGTGGTTGAACTAACTTCTCCAGGTACAGTTCAAAGGATCATATTATGTGATGATAATTGGAGAAAACAGTTTGCTTTGTTGCTCAAAATTCGAAATGGAAATTGAACACTTTGAAAGGCACATAGTGGTTATCACCAGTAATGAAAGCTCGACGGGAAAATATGTTTGATGAATACTGTAAGATCATCATCATTATCATCGACAGTATGACATCAGAGTTCAGCACCGACGTTTCACTATCGTGCAGCCATTTTTTTTAAAGCATTCTTGTCAAGAAAAGAATAAAGGTAGACGTGGAATGGACTTAGTGCTAGGTTACTACAATCATTTCGAAGTGCCTCCACTTCCACTGAATCAGGTAAGCTGGATGGAAACTGACAGCAAGAACACCACTGACATCAGTTGGCAGCCATATCTTGTAGCGTCTCCAACCAGGCACAGTGAGGATCATGTGGTCCCCATCCTGGAAGGCGAGTAGTACCGACAGCACCCAAGCATTTCGTGATCTTCATACTTCTCTGCCAAGTCAAGGGTCGGTCACCTCTCTGTTTACACCACTGTGAATTGGGCATGGAAAGCAGCACTCTCTTCGGCAAACGATGGTTCGGCATACGCAGCTTACGTCCCAAACACCGCAGCTTCTGGTGCTGGATACATTCTTCAATGGAAGTACCTTTTGCACAACCGAAAAGGCGCTTTCTAACTCCCTCGTTACTGATACTCCGACATCAACCCACACGAGCTATGGTTCTGAGACAACGATTGTCGAACACCTGAAGACGTCTCAGGTCCGCTGCTCGAATAGGCCAAGTCTCACAGCCATACAACAAAACAGCCCGTACTGTAGCTTGATACACACGTCCCTTCAGATTCAGGGATAAACCATTCTGACGCCATAGGTGTCTCAAGTTAGCAAACGCGGCCCGAGCCTTGCAGATTCGTGCATTCACCTCATCTGACACACTGCAATCAGAACTAGTACAGCTTCCAAGATACGTAAAACGCTCCACAACTTCCAGTACCTCTCCCTGGATTGTAAGGGGCGTGTTCAGTGACTGCACGTCCACAAGCATGACCTTACACTTTGTAGGTGCAAAAGGCATACCAATGGACGGGATGACTTTGGTCAGTTCATCCAAGAATACCTGCGCCTTCTCCTCCTCTTCGAACAT